CCAAACTGACGTCACACAAAACCGGACCTCATTTAGACCCTTCACCCCTAAGCTGACATTGTGGTGGAAGCTACGCGCTTGCCGAACCAATCGGCCACCTCCGTTTCATCACCTGACTTCATTCTCTGCAGCCACATTTGCCACGCTTACGTGGCAAAAGTGTGGCTAGCCCAAGGAGCACGTAGCTTCCAGAGCACTGTCAGCTTAGGGGTGAACGGGCTAGGAAAAGAAACTTTTGTCTGAGTTTTGAGCGACGGGCTAATCTTCTAGGGGGACAATGGCTCTCTCCGGGTACACAAACCAAGTTCCGAGCAAGAGGGGCCTCCCTTCTTTTCGTCTTCTTGAACTGTTAGGTGGAATGCGCGATTTAAGAGTTGAGGAGGAAAGCGAAACAGGAAAAAGTTGGAAAAGCGTTTCATGACCCCTTTAATGCAGAATGCTGCATTTCTCCAACGTCTCATGATTTGACGAGCCTTGCTCGAAAAGCATGTTTTTTTGGCCATCCCGCGCCCTGATTTTTTATCCGTAACATGGGTCTAAAGTATCAAACTGCCCATCACGTATAGAAGTTTTGCAGCAGCTGTGCATGGGCACCACCATAACTGACCTTCAGTTTTTTCCCCCTTATTACGTTTACTTCTCTTCATTATTACCACAGCAGGCCATGTTATCGCCATCTTAGATTTTATTCTGCCTTTCTCCCCAGCACTGGCTTTTGAAGAGGCTCTTCCACACCAATTTTAGTGGGTCGGTATTTCGGTAAAACAAGAGAAGGTCAGCAATGGCGGCTGTATTCTGGCGCGTGTGTAAAGCGTCTATAGGCTCGAAATATTATAAAAATAGAAGATCCCTTCGAAGCCAGCAAGAAAAGAAAACGAACAAAAAAATACAAATGAACGTTTATGTTCCAACAAAAAGCGCAGGAGGGAGCAAAATTTAACCTATCAGTGACGGCGCCTCTAAGATTGGCAGAGCATGGCTTGGTGAACGCAAGGTCGGCCATTTTTTACATATCCCGAAGCGTTTTAGCGACCCTCCAGCGCCACCAACAAACCAGTTTTTTTTTTTTTTTGACGGCTCGGAAAATTTCACTGGGGAACACAAAAGGGACGAGTAGGCAAGAGGAGAGGGCATAAGTCAAGGAGAGGAGGAGGCTTCCGAGAGAATTCGGGGAGACAGTGTACGACATCTGCGGCATTGTCGGGATGTTTTTACTTTCTCGGGAAAACAGGGCATGAAGCTGAGAACGGGACATGCATGGGCAGAGTTTACAGCGTCTCCTCCACCTCTGCTTGTTGCTTGAAGCTGCCGAATGTGACATGCCGATGAATACGCAAGGCTCCCGCGCTTCCGCCAATCTCGGGCCTTCGTTTTGTCGGCTTTGCGCGCGCCCCAGAAGCAGTCATCGATACCGAAGAGATCTTCAACGACCGCATTCATCACCGGACCTCCGGGAGATTCGTGTGCTGTGTGTGGTGTCATGCGCTTAGGCAAAGCATGGGCGACAGCGGAATGACTGTGACATAGTGCGTGCTCTTAAATGTGTACAGACATCAGCAAACATCTTCCGGGATTGATTTCAAAATGAAGTTGCGGTGAGCTGACCCCCGATTTATCCGTTACAAATTAGTGTCTCCCAATAATTCATATGCCTTTTATGCGGATTTCTGGCCATAGAGCCCAGCGCTACCATTTACCTTGTGCATTGGGCCGGCTTTCTTGGAGCGAGCCGCAAACATTTACCTGAGTAAATATGAGAGAAAAAAAAAGTCAAAGGGGTAATGTAATTAAGACATGTCGAATAAAATGCCTATGCCACGCTGGTTTCTCTCTTCTGTCTAAACAAACATTCGGAGTTGTATATGACTGGAGTGCATGGAAATACCTTGCCCTAAAAGGTGATATCGTTTTTGCAAACACGTCAAATTGTCTAATGTTCACGCGACTTGAAAACGGGGTCATTTGACTCTGGAGGCGAGACTCTGTCACGCTGACTCTACCAACCTCATAGAATCAGATGACTCCCTGCATGCCAAGTGGGGTCACTTGAGTTCAGGCATTTACTATTCTCATTTGACTCCAGTGCTTTTGAGGGAGTCCGAACCGTATCAGACTCCTTTTTGCTGCCAGATGGAGTACCTCGACGCCATCACTCAAAAATGGGGAGTCAAAAGCGCATTTGACTCCACCCGACTCCCTTTTTTTCTAAGAGTGTGGCCAAGAAACGCCTTTGTTGCGGTGTAATTTCAAGGACAAAAGCGATCATTTTCATTCAATCTCTCCTTTGCAAACTTTGATCACGTAACGTGGGGATCGCAGTACACCCAATTAAATGACGATATTTGAATGCGGTTCATAGATTGGACCCGAGCATTGCGTGGGCACTCGACTTGGGCTCGTGATAATTGCTAGCTCGAGAAGCATTCGGGTAGTGACCCGTGTCCAATCGCTGCAACGACGACAACAGCCGAGCCATAACAATGTCCGGAACTCAGCGCGTGTCCTGCGCTTTGCCAACCCCAGCGCGTGGCTATGATCAACACTGGCGGAATATAATCGGCTCCAGATCACGTGGCCGCTTGTTCTGGCTGCGAGTTGAGGGGGTGAACGCTGCTCGTTTTTCTTAAATTTTTTTTCTGGGACTTCTATTGCGTGGAGTGAAGAACGAACGCGTGTTTCAGAGGTCATTTACGTTAGGGATCCGTTTTAAGCGGTATTTGTGCAAAGTACAAAAATTGTTGCATTGCGCCTTTAAATAGCTAAAGTACGTATCAAAGACCACTGAAAGAAAACACTGAGGTTTTGCAGTACGGCCAAGAAAATTTCGATTATTTTTTTGTAGTCAGTAACACGTATACACATAGCTATTTTAATAAGTTGTACCACACAGTTATCAAGCCTCTTGTGAAAGTTAGTACCGTTATGTCGAAATCACTGTGCTATACGTGAAACTAGTTTTGGGGCGTACTTTATGAGGCAAAAGGCGTAAGAATACACCCTTTTTTAGAGTGTATCTTATGAGTAACTGTACAATATCTTAGTGTGTATGCTTAATTGTGTCATGTGTTTGCGTGAGTGCCTGTGATTGCATGTGTGTCCTGGATTACCTATGCCTTCCAGAATGCTGTACGTCTACGGTATGTTCGTCCTATTTGAGTGGTTTTATAAATGAAAGTTTTGCGTATTTACCTGTCACGTTAAGGATCCCTTCGCCGGTCAGAACCTCAAAGGAAGGAGCGTCAGCGGAGACCTCGCATCGGTATGTTCCCCCGTCGTTCAAAGTCAGATATTCCAGAAGCACCGACGACTGGTCACTTTCCGCAACCTGCGCAGCGAGTCAACGCCGGCTGTCAACACAGGATATGGACGTAGAAGCACAAAATCGACCTTTTTTTTGTGTAACGAGCGCCGCCTGAGTGATTCTCTGCGAACTGCGAATGAGGGCAGCCCAACAAATACGTTGACATTGTGCCGTTGCGTCGGTTTTCATTACTTTTTGTGCTCCATACTGCGGGTGCTCGAAAACTATATTGCTGGAGAAAGACGAAGTATGCGCCAAGATAGGGCCTGAAAAGGTTGGTCATTAGGGAGGGTCCCCTCCGAGAATCGCGACGGCGGGAAGAAAAGGTTTATGGAGGAGGTATACAGATGCGTAGGGTTATATAGGTAAAGGTTCATTGCCAACTTGAAGCATCATTGTCAGGTATTGCTGCAAATATATTATTTCCCGAGTTTCTCAAGAGAAAAAGAAGATACTTCCCTGCTTCATAGAGGTTGACTGGCCACGTGCTTTTAGGGGCAATAGCCGCGTGGGCAGTACCCTAAGAGTGCGTGCATAGGCCTCTTCAATACTACAGGTGAAGGGCAGGTAAAACCTGGAAGCTGGTAAATATGTTCTTTTTTTTTTGTTTGGTCATGAGAGCACAGTGTAGCACCCAATTTATATTTATAGGTAGTAGCAAAAAAGAAAGTATTTACCCTATTAGCTTGCTTTATCCACAAAAACTACAGATTGCTCTTTGATCAGCTGAGAATTAAAGATTTGCATGATGTAAATCGTGCGCCCTTTATTATCTATTAGGTCCAAACAATTTTTATTAAGTAGTTTTTATTCTTAAAGTACAAAACAAACAAGGGGCGGCGGTGTTTCAAAGAAAAAAAAAATGCAGTACTCTCCCTCCCCCCCCCCCTCTCTAAAATAAGAAAAGAAAGAGGCGCATGGACGAAGATGAGCCATTTATACATTCGCGATTCCTTTGTCATGAACCACTGTGCATCATATTCCGATTGAAAGTGCTGCTTGTTGTAAACCCCAGCAAGTGCTAACTTTATTGCTTTTGACAGTATGTCTGTGCCATATATATATATGGCACAGACATTCTGTCAAAAGCAATATATATATATATATATATATAGAGAGAGAAAAAAACGAAGCGCAGGATGACGAAAAGTATATACGGAAGAAAACGCACTTGAGACGGTTGTTGGAGTTTTTAAAACATATTATTGGTAAAGTTGGTCGACGTTTCGGCCTGAGACAGACCTTTTTCAAGGTCTGTCTCAGGCCGAGGAGCTGAACGTCTGTCTCAGGCCGAAACGTCGACCAACTTTACCAATAATATGTTTTAAAAACTCCAACAACCGTCTCAAGTGCGTTTTCTTCCGTATATATATATATATATATATATATATATATATATATATATATATATATATATATATATATATATATATATATATATATATATATATATATATATATATATATATATATATATATATATATATATATAAATTTAGGTGGTGTTTTGAGTCCTCGCTAAATTCCAATAAACTCCGAAAATAACCTCCTAGCCGGATTTTGTCAAAATGAAAGAAATCGGAAAAACCCTGAATTAGAGTTTCCCTTGAATATGCAGAAACCCAAGCTCAACGAGAAGAGATCTTTTAGAGCTGCAGCTTTATGCTCTCTATACACCAACATACTAGTTACAAACAAGCCTGTGCTTGCTCAACCAGAACCGGGTGAGGCGAAGCTTGTGCGCAAGCGCAGTGCCAACAGCAGCGCCACCGCCGTGGTGTGACTTCAGAGAACTGAGTTGGTGTATACCCGGAACACCACCCTCACTGAACTGCCCACGAGGCTGCTCCATTTCTCGGGAATCATACCGCTTATCTTGTTTCTAATCTGACTGGTACAGAGACGTTTTCTAATCATTGGAATCATCGCGCATGCTCCCTGGACTTTTGAGAATTACATGCCCTAGCCGTTTGTTCGTCAACAGGAGCACCGATAAAAAAAAAAACGATTTCTTGAAAGACGTGGTTGTGTTGTCCCAGTTTTTTCTTTGTTTTATTTTTTCTTCATCCATGATTTTTTGTTGTACGGCGAAAATTGGCACCGATAAAACATAAAGCCCCTTTAATTCAAAAATAGAAAAAAAAAAACGAACACAAGGAACACTTTGCATACGTAGGGTTTTTTGTTTTTGGGTCACGCATACGCGTGACTTAAATACTCGAAAAGATGCTTCATAAAAACTTGGAAACGAGACAAGGGACGAAGTTTGAAAGAAAAGAGCAGGTTCACTGACAGTTCAGTGAAGGCCGTGTTCCTCGTCAATACAAAATAAAACTGTACATAATTTTTCTTTTCTTGAAGTTGGGGTTTTCTTGTTCAGGGAGAGCTTTAATTCGAGGTCCTTTTGGTTTTTGCCGATTTAAACCGACTCGAATGTTAATTATGAAACTTTTTCGGTATTTACGGCAAAACAAAAATAATGAGCAGAACTTTATTTACAAGGTATGAAATAAGGCTGTTATAGATGCACGTACGTTTACCGTAATGCCGCTCAGTATAAAATATTTCTTGGGTGGGTTCTCGCTCGGGACGTAGCGGAAGAACTCGCGAGTTCCTTTGTACCACTTGACGGAGTAGAGTGGGGAGTCCCCGAGCCTGAAGCGGCAGCGCAAGCTGGCGCTTCTTCCCGACACGGCGTACGCCGGCACATCCAGACCGAGGAGCTGAACGTCACCCGTACTCGTGGCGTCTCCTGCATGGGAAGTAAGTCGAATGTTACCTGAACACTTTGGTCTTGTTCAATGCGCTACACTTATCGCTGGAAGGTGAAGTTTTAGCATCGTGTATGAACACACTAGTTATAAACAAGACAGCGTTGCCCACATCGTGCGTGAACGCTGTGCGTGCGCCGGAACCAGATTCGCCTGCGGTGAAGCGGTGTGACGTCAGAATCGCTTGTTGGTCTAAGGCAGAAAACGCAAGCACTGTGCGTTAGCGTTACGTGCTTCACACTGCGGATGTGCAACACGCAAGCAACGCAGCCAGGGCTTAAAGGCTTAAAGTCTGGGAGGTTCAAGGGGTCTCAAATTACGCCCCCCCCCCCCCTTCCCCTGATTTTAACAGATGGTCTGAGACCCCCCTCCACAGCCCCAGCATTAGTGAAATCAAAATCATATCTTGAAATAAAATAGCTTGTTCTCAGCGATGTGACATTTGGGGAATAGCAATTTGTGCGTTGCAGGTACAGCGTGGGCAGAGTCAGCAGTGGGGCTTATTTTATGTGCATCTAGTACATCTTGTCAGAACCCCTCCTCCCCCCTACCTTCCTGTAGGGACCCCATCAAGTTATGGAAGACTTTAAGCACTAAACGCAGCGCGCCATGCGGAGGTACGCTCGCTTTTGATTTCTTGCGTGCGAGTTGGGCGGTCCTCTGCGTGTCCTTCTCGTTGTTGTTGTTGAAAAATTTACTGGCCATAACAGGAAAGATTGGGAAGGAAAGGGGGAGTTAAAGAGATAAAGAGTGGGTGCATGCCCTCATTCCAGAGCTCCAATAGCGGCTTGGGCATGCAGCGCGCGGGTCACCAGCAGCTTTTGCACATCGATGACTTCACTCTGCAGCCCCGCTTCCCACTCTTGAGTAGAAGGCTCCACCAGTGGAGCCAGTCCAGGGATCTTCTTACACTTCCAAGTAATGTGATGCACGTCCGCCCAGGGCTCACCACAGAAGGGGCAGGCTCCCGTAGTGTGCCGGTCGGGGTACCACTGGTGCAACCTGGCGGGGGTCACAAGAGTGCCCCATCTGGAGCCTTCTCCAAGTCCATTCTTCTTCCTTTCCAAGCACGGGCTCGGGACTACGCGCCTGTCGGTTTCTTCATTTTGAGTGCCTCGTTAAACGAGAGGTCCGTGTCCACTTGACCACCCGACTGGGACGAGTCCCGGAGAATACAGCCTCGGGCCGCAGCATTTGCTGCCTCATTCCCAGTGTTCCCCGTGTGGCCAGGGGACCAGATCAGATGCACCCCCTGCACTTCCGTCTTACTAAGTATTCTATCAGCGACTGCGCACACCATCCCGCGAGCGAAATTTCCACATGCTTTCTGGGAGTCAGAGATGACAGTCGCCCTGGGGTTGCAAACGACCGCCAACGCAATCGCCGCTTCCTCAGCCTAGCCAGCCAACTCTAATCTGACCGAAGCTAATCTTAACACCCGACCCTGGGCGTTAGCCACTGCGATTGTGGCGACTCCATTTACTGGGCCGCCACAGTCAACATATAGCGTTCCCTCTTTGTGATCCCATGTCTTAGACAGGGCCTCAGATCTGGCCTTTCTTCTGCCGTCGTCTTTTCCTGGTTGCATATTCCTCGGGATACGACTCACCACTATTTTCTTCCGTATTTCTGCTGACAGCTCATGGTCGGGGACAGTACCCGTATGCGTTCCTACCGGAACCGCCATCCCGAGTTAGTCCATCAGCCACGCCCCGTTCTTCGTGGACGCCAACCTCTTTATCTGAGCCACGAGATGTGCTTCGTGAAGCTCATTTATTGTGTTGTGGACCCCTAACTTTAGTAATTTGTCGGTCGCTGTCCTCTCGGTAAGGCGCACTTTTGTATGCTCCTCTTATCAAAATATCAATTTTTTTTGCCGTTCCGCTTTACTCAAGACCAAGTACGGTGTGGCGTAAGTGAGTCTGAAGATAATAAAGGCCTGAACGAGTTGCATTGCTTCTTTCTCTTTTATGCCCCTCCTACGATTTGTTATCCTTCGAAGCATGCCACAGACCTGGGTGGTCATGGTGTCAAGTTTATCGATAGTTCACTTGTTGCCCCTGCCCTGTCGAATGAGCTGGCCGAGGATACAAATCTCCGTGGGTTTAGAGACCCGTTTCCCCTCACCCAAACCTCAATTTGTTCCGACACACGTTCATAAGGGTTCCTCAAGACAAGTAATTCGGACTTCTCCGGTGCACACTTTAGACCGCACCCCTCAGCGTAGTCTTCTACAATTTTGGCAGCCGCCTGTTGTCTTTCTTTAATCTGCGCGTCGTTCCCCTCCCGACACCACAGGGTGATGTCGTCGGCGTAGATGGCGTGTTCCACACCGGGAACCGCCCCCAGCGCCTCCGGCAAACCCCGGAGAACCAGATTGAAAAGAAGCGGAGATAGAACAGCCCCTTGAGGCGTCCCCTTTGAGCCGAGCTCGAAGCTGTTGGATTTCATGCTCCCTAAGGTTAGAGTAGCCTTCCTGTCCGTTAAAAAACTCCGTACGTATTCGAACGTTTTCTGTCCGCAGTGTATCTCGTTGAGGCCTCTGAGTACGCTGGCATGCGAAACGTTATCAAAAGCCACCTTTAAATCAAGAGCGAGAATACACCGTATTTGTCCCCTGGAGGGGCTCTCCAAAAGATCTTTGTATATCCACAGGAGGATGTCCTGTGTTGAGGTACGAGGTCCCAACCCAAATTGAGTATGGGGCATGATATTTTCCTTCTCCAAGTACCTCATGAGCCTAGTGTTTAGTACCCTCTCAAAAGCTTTACCCACGCATGAGGTAAGTGAGATGGGTCTAAGATTTTCTAGATTTAAGTTCTTTTTGGGCTTGGGCATAAAGCGAATGTCGGCGGTTTTCCAGCAAGCTGGCGTCACCCCTCTAGCTTAGTAGTGCTCGTTAAAATGATTAGCTAGCTTCCCGAGTTAGCCTTCTTCCAAGTTATAAAGGAGTTTTGCCGTGATGGTGTCGGGCCCCTGCGCAATGCCCTTTTTCATGGCCCCGAGCTCGTACTCAAATTCTGCCACCAATACCGGCCTATCCAGTTCGGAGTTTTCGCGTCCTAGATACTCTAGAGTTTCCTCCGCGCGTTCAAGACACAAATATCTCCGCGCGAGTTGGTTCATGATTTGCTCTGTATCGTTGGGTAACTCGTAGATGAGTTCAGCTATTGGACTGTCCGTAACCGACTTAGTCTTAGTTGGATCTATGAGTGCCCTAAGGAGACGCCACGACCATGCCGTATCGAGGCTACCGCGTATGGAGTCACAAATCCCATACCAGTTGTTCCTAGCGAGGTCGACCGCATGGTCCTCCGCGACCTTAGTTAGAGAGAGAGAGAGAATGCACTTTAATATTGAGCACAAATTAAGTGTTCAAAACATCCATGACTTGTAACACCAAGGCCATTTGGTCATCCGGTTCGTCTGACGCCAGCCAAGCACTCCAGGAAAGGGGAGGGGGGTTAGGGAGGAACGGTGTGGATAGTGCAATAGGGCACTGTAGGAGGCAATGTTCCAGGTTGGCGTATGGGGAGGGGCAGTTAGGGCATGAAGGATCAGAACGACGTCGAAGAAGAAAAAGCCTAGCGGGAGTAAGAACGGTGTTCGTTTAGATTTTTCGGAGGACGTGACTTTGTTCCACATTGAGGTTCGGGTGGGGTCGAGGTAGTCGCTGTTGAGAGTTACGGAGCTGCTTGTAGTAGAAATTGATTGAGCGTTTGTAGATTAAGGCATCGTCACTGGTCGGGGGGCTAGGCCACGGGATCACAGGCGCTCGGATTTGCATTTCGCGAGCGAGTTGATGAACCAACTCATTACCTGTGATCCCGCTGTGACCAGGGACCCACCGAACGGTGACAGAGGATGGGTTTAGTGCGCGTAGAGCTTCATCGAGGACCGATCTGAGATCTGGTGGGATTTTGCGTTGCTGCAGAGCGCGTATGGCTGCCTGGGAGTCCGTATAGGTCGTATAAGCTGATGTAAGAGGTATTTGGGAGAAGGTTTGGATAGCATGTATAATGGGAACTATTTCTAGTGTGATGATATTTGAGGGTTGCTATATGGACCGCAGGTGTGAACTGTGGCGGTTGGGGATTGTGGTGTATAGATTGCATATGCCCCAGCTCCCGTATCTCCTGTGTTGGAGATGGATGCATCAGAATATGCTATGGTGTGTGTCTGAAAGGGGGGATTGTGATGGATAGCTTGCGCCCTCCTGCGACCGTCGTTGAGGCCCGGAGACATGCGGCGAGGCACAGGGGCGAAGCGCAGATTTAACGGTAGGGCTGGGGTAGGTATATGTAAGGGAAGGTCTATGGGGGAAAGTCCTGCCTGCTCCAGGATCCATCTACCCTGCGGTGTTCCTGAGAGGCGGGCTATCTGCCGATCTCGATGCTGGTGCAAAAGAGAGGTGAGGGGGAGAAAGAGGCCTGTTTGGTATAGTTTTTGGTTGGAGGTGGAGATGGGAAGGTTTAAAGAGGCCTTGTATAGTGTGTTTAATGCTGCTGAGAGTTTGTTGATTTGTTGTTGTGTGAGTGTGACATATGGTATAGAATAGAGAATTTTACTAAGGGCTAACGCATGAACTAGGTGACTCGCCTGCTTCTCGTGGAGACCCGCGTGCTTTTTGACCACTCTGCGTACCAGGGAGGTAACCGAGTGGCATGTGTTTACGACTGAAACGACGTTGGCTTGATGTGATCTTTCCCGTAAATGCATGCCCAGAATTTTACATGTAGAGACTTTCGGGGTGGGGTGCTGACCGATGTGTAAGGATATGTGCTGGTTAACAGATCGCTGATATTGAGTATGTGATAGAAGAAGCAATTCCGATTTTTCTGGGGCAGGTTCAAGGCCTGCTTGTTCAAGATATTCAGCTATAATGTCCAGTCCCTGCTGCAGAGTCGATTCCACTTCCCCTTGTGACCCGTGAGTGCACCAGAGGGTGAGGTCGTCCGCGTAGAAGATGTGTGAGAGTTGG